AAAAATGAAAAAAAAAAATTCCTTCCAACCACAAACGTTTGAATGGTAGCGTATGGTTTTAAACTAAACCGGTGCGGCATGAGCATCCCTGTTCTAGTAAATTCATGCAACAAGTACGTTACCACCAATAAAAGCTTTACTATGGTCATAAATCTTCAGTGTTTATGTGACATCTCTGCGGATAGTTGTGCAACTACAGCTCAGACGTATGACACACGTCAGCTCATATGACACACGGAGAGTGAGAGGAAACCTGCAGGAGCTTCTGCCCGCTGGGAGTGTGTGTGTGTGTGTTTGCTGTAAGAACACACACACATAAAACACACAAAGGGACGTATGTCATGATCGCTCCTGTTACACGCTGCAGGGTGAAACACAATGAACTTCTCATCTGAAACACTATATACAGCAGCAAACCCACAGGACTGAGAAATCACACACAAAATCTCTTAAAAAAACCTAGACAGCAATCAGATTAAATGGAGAGCAAGTGGAGAGGTTTCTACTAGGAAAAAGACCCCAGCAATCTCAAAAATGCCTCAGATTTTCCAGATCCAAAAGTCTGAATATGAAAGACCTCAATATGATCTCAAACATTTCTCATCAAATGCTCTAAGCTGATCCACATTCACTTTATAGCTACATAACCGTACTGTATGACAACTATTGACTCATTTGGGTCTGTTTTTATTAAAATTATTTTTAAAAAATCAATCAGTCAATCACATTTATTTATATAGCACATTTAAAAACAACATGTTGGTAAAAGTGCTTTACATACCAGGACCTAATACATTCATACAATCAAGAATCATAAAACCAAGTATTAAATAAATCCAAAATTAAGTGAGCCGACCTCATACGTCATTCCCCCGAAACTGCTTCTGTTTACAACAGTGAGCGCAAGCTAGATTCAAGTGATTATTACGTTTTGAATATGGATATTTTTCTTACAAAAACGCATCGATTCGCTACAGAAGGCCTTTGTTCACCCCCCGGAGTTGTGTGAGACACTTTTTTTTTTATGGATGGGCGATTTTTATTTAAGTTCTTTTGGACTGATGCATGCAACACCCGCTGAGTGGCATTAAACAGCTTTTAAAGATCAAAGACAATTTTTAATATAACTCCGACTGGATTCGTCTGAAAGAAGAAAGTCATATACACCTAGGATGCCTCGGGGGTGAGTAAAACGCAGCCAAATTTTCATTTTTGGGTGAACTAACCCTTTAAATATAGCCACATGGGCTCAGGAGTACTTCAGAAAACCACTGTCATTTACCACAGTCTGCTGCTGCATCAAGAAATGCAACTTGAATCTCTGTTACTCAAGGAGAAAGCTATACATCAATTCCATGCAGTGATGCCACTGGGTTATCTGGGCCAGAGCTCATCTCAGATAGTCAAAAAGTCAGTGGAAATGTGTGCTGTGCTCAGATGAGTCCACATTTCAACTTGTTTCCGGGAAAATTGGATTTCGAGTTCTCAGTCCCAAAGACCAAAGGGACCATCCAGATTTTCATTAGTGACAGAAGCAAAAGCAAACGTCTGTCATGGTATGGGGGTGCAGAAGAGCAAACAGCATGGGTGACTGGCATATGTGCGAAGGTACTATTGACATGGAGATTGTCTTGTACAGAGATATTGTTACGACCTTTTAAAATTGTCTAGGGTTTAAAGGAGCAACATTGAGACTGTGGCAAAACTGTGAAATGATGGTGGAGGCAAGAGACAATACAAGGACAACAAACTGCCAAAGAAGAGTGATTTAACGTACAGAGGAGTGAAAAACAATAAAATTACAAAAATATAAATCAATGAAAAAGCAATATGTACAAATTTTTACAATTCAAAGGAACTAAAACAAAACAACTAAACAAACCAACCCAAGAGAAAGGGGATGCCAAAGAAAAGAAAAACAGTTCTAACTTATTCTTTTAAACTTCTACCCTAACTAAAAGAAAAGAAAACAAGATCTTCAACACCAAGCGCAGTATACTTCCCTACTCTCAACTAACGAAAGCAAATATACAGGGGGTGGCGTTCACCTCTTACCTGGGGTGTCTATACATCGAGTTACCTAAGTGTTGCGCAATGGAAGTCACGTGACATCTTCCCTATCCACCTTCCTCTTGAGCAAAGAGTAAACATCACAAAGCGTAATCTCATCAAAGCTCAAAGAGCAAACACCATCAGAGTAACAAAAAAACGGGAAAAAGTAACAAAACAACTAAACGAAATGGCAAATCAAAAGGTGGAAAGGATAAAGAATGTAAAAAAAAACAGGATTTTGGCATAAACAAATTGCAAATAGAGCAGGTCAAAACGAGTAAAGTGACAGCAAAAAGGCAGGGAGAAAAAAATCGCCAATTATTCCTTTCAGCGTCCTTTTTTTTTTAGATAACATATTCTTGATTTGATTGCATTTTACAAAACGTCCCAACTTTCTGGGGTTGTATATATATATTTTTAACTTTGGTTTTCACAGCAGATTTATTCAAACATACATTAAATAATGAAGATAACAGGTTAATGGAAGTAACTGAAAACTCATTAAGCCAGAAAAGAGCAAAATTTGAGCAATAACATACTCTACAGGCATAAAGTCAACTTAACTGTTTGAAATATTACATGATATGTCAACTATGGTGAATTCAGGTTTATTAAGGACGTTCTTCTATAAATAGTTTTACTGTGGATACTGACTGGAAGAGATCAGCGCTCACAGTTAATGTATGTATGTTCCCACACTGAAGGTACCCGATGGCGAAATATCTATCAAAGCTGAACACGCAGAGCGAACACAGGTACAGCCTTACCAGGGAAAAACCCCTCATTGTGTGTGACCTCTGATGTCAGCGTCGTAATTCAAGTCCCAAAAGCCCAACGGGAGGAGAGCTGAACACGGCACACCGCAAACACACGGCTGTCTCCAACCATCCTCCTAAAACATGCCCTCCGCATTCCTGCCGTATCTCTCTTCCCGACAAGACTTCT